AAGCCTTGAACATAGATTTGATTGCTACTGCGAAGTGCTCTTGTTTTAAGACTGCAGCTTTTTGATTAGGGTCAGGTAGTGGAATTTCTGCCTTAGCACACAATTTGGTCATTAATTCACCAAAATTGTCAAGATCCAACAAATTGGGCAACATTGCAGCAGTTGCCATTGGATGGTCCAAGCTGATATTGATGGTGGGAGGGCTACCACGCTAAATAACAGTGGATTACCTCCCTGATGTGAAATATTTATTGATTGATTTAATTATGTACTTATTACACAGGGACATATTACACAGGTACTTATTACACAGGGACTAAAAAGTTTCAGTATGTGTTTTTTTCCGTATATATATATATATATATATATATATATATATATATATATATATATATATATATATATATATATATATATATATATATATATATATATATACACACATATATATATACACACATATATATATAGCGCTTAGCATCAATTGAAATAGGTGATTCTTCTAATAAATGGATCTGAGATACCATCTTTAAAAATCGTGGTCCACACTAATACCTTTGGTTCATATTTCATTTTTTTTTTTGTATTTAACATCTTCAGGAGCTGAACTTTTATAATCAGTATAATAACCATCATTACCTGCTATTTCACTATTGATAAAATACTTTTCATCATCGATAATTACTGTTTATTACTGCTAACAGTCATGCTGGTTTACACATTTTACAACAAGGTCGATTCCAAAAATTATTCCGAAATTTTAAATGAATTGGAAATTTGAATTCCTAATTGGCTTTGAATTAGAAAGATTAATATTTTCATGCAACTTGCAGGCTAAAATTGTTAAGACATGACAGATAATAATTTGCACTTCTACTTTATCCAAAATGTTTAAAACAAGCTGTAACTTTTAATAATCACTATAATATGTAGTGGATTATAATAATATGTGGTGGTATATAATATGTGGTGGCATATAATATGTGGTGGTATATAATAATCTGTGGTGGTATATAATAATATGTGGTGGTATATAATAATATGTGGTGGTATATAAAAATATGTGATGGTATATAACAATATGTGGTGGTATATAATAATATGTTGAGGTATATAACAATATGTGGAAGTATATAACAATGTGGTGGTATATAATAATATGTGGTGCTATGTAATAATATGTGGTGGTATATAATAATATGTGGTGGTATATAATAACATGTGGTGGTGTATAATAATATATGGTGGTATATAATAATATATGGTGGTATATAATAATTGCTATAAATATATTGAGTGGTGGGATCTTTTTAACTGTACAAATAATAATAACTGTACACTTATGTGCACAGTTTTAAAACATAAGTTTTAAAAGCAATTGCTGGAAGGGAATGTGCCTGGTACGTGTAAATTTAGAATTCACTTTGTTCTAACTCCACTTTTTTAACTTGTTTTATTATGCCTTATTGTTTCAACTCCAAAACGGCCAATCAAATAAAGCGTTATAAAAAACTAGTTATGTTTATCTTTGGTTTCTGTTTAAAAAAATTGTAATGTTTATTAAGTCTCAGCAGCTGCGTTAAATGCTAACTGCTCTTTAGGGAGACTGAACTTTTCGCAACATTAGTTTATCATTGTAGAAAGAACTTTACACCATTTATTTACCTAGAGTACGCTATCCAAGTGTGGTCACCGTACCAACAGGCAGAAAAAGAAATGTTAGCAAAAGTTCAAAAACGTGCTACAAAAACCATTTCTGAGATTAAGGATTGCACCGCCGAGCAGCAAAGAGTCATGTTAGGTTTTGCAACACTAGAAAAATAGAAGACTGCAAGTTGATTTATTTCTGATGTTTAAGTTCATGCGTGCAACCGATAAAATAAACTTTCATGTACCATTCAATTGTCATTCGTTGTCAAAGTATATTATGCGTGGTCATAATCAAAGACTTGCACGACGAAGAGTACTTAATTGCATGCCAAGTGAGAAATTCTTCACAAACCGCGTTGTGTTGCAGTGGAATACTCTGCCGCAAATAGAAGTTGACGCGATCTCAGTCAACATGTTCAAATATCGGCGGAGGTGTACTTGATTCACAGGGTTAAGGGAGGCATAGCTTAGTTGATTTCAAATTTGATTTGATTTTTTCTTTTAATGGAATTATCTTTTATTCAAGAAAAAACTAAAAGAAATTGTTTTATCTATTGAAGACATAATTTTATATTTTTAAATTCTTCTTAAAATGAATATTAGATTAGATTAAAATTTATTAGAACAGTGATACATATTCTAAAGGACACGCAGGTCCATAAAATATGAAGGAATCTGACAACGTTCCCTACAATCACATAATACATATACTAGATAATTTAAAATATATATTACAATTATATATAAGACTATAGTTATTAAACAAAAACCAGTTAGCCGGAACAGTATTTTTCAAAGTCGAAAAATACTGTTCCGGTTAGTGTTAATTTTAATTTTGAAGCTCTTTTATTTTTGGCGTTCACGACGTCAGACGGCAAGTTATTCCAAATATTAACAACCCTGAGCGAGAAAGAGTATTTAAAGACATCGAGTTTACATTTTAGTTTGCGTAATTTGAAATTATGTCCTCGAGTGTAAATATAGTTGTTAAATAAAAAGAAACTTGATTTTTGTAGAGTTAATTTTAATTTTGAAGCTCTTTATATTTTTGGCGTTCACGACGTCAGACGGCAAGTTATTCCAAATATTAACAACCCTGAGCGAGAAAGAGTATTTAAAGACATCGAGTTTACATTTTAGTTTGCGTAATTTGAAATTATGTCCTAGAGTGTAAATATAGTTGTTAAATAAAAAGAAACTTGATTTTTGTAGGCAAACTAAACTGTTCAGAATTTTGTAACTTGTAATCATGTCTTGCTTAAGGCGACGAATTTCTAGTAGTTCCAAACCAAGAATTCTAAATCTATTTGATTATAAAACATTATTTAGGTTAGAAATTCTCTTGGTAAAACGTCTTTGTACTCTTTCCACTGTATTGTTCATTTCAGTGCGATTTGGCGACCAAACCAGAGAGCAATAGTCTAAGATGGGTCATATATAAGTAATGTAGGCTTTAACAATAAAATGTGTATCACGATTTTTAAAACACTTAAGGATTAGATATCCTCGAATGTTTGATGCGTAGAAGATATTTGAAAGATGATTATTGTAATTTAAGTAAGAATCCATGGTCACATCAAGATCATTTGGGTTTGGAGACCAAGTTAAATTATGATCGCCTAATTGATAGTTGTAATTTATATCTATACAAAATGAAGTAGGTGCTATTCTATGAGTAAAGCACTTATTATTGGCTACTATTAATTGCCATTTTTTTGACCAGAGATAAACTTTATTAATGGCTACAGCAAGATTGTGACTGTAATCGGCATCCTTAAATGAACTATATAGCTTGATATCGTCAGCATATAACATTAGAGAGCAATTAAGATTTTTCACTATATAACAAGAATAACGTTGGACCCAAAACGCTACCCAGTGGAACTCCAATTAGGATGCTAGTTGGATTAGATAGTGAGTTTCCAACCAGAACCCTTTGATATCTGTTAGAATGAAATGCTGAAATCCAATCTAGCAGATTATCTATTATGCCGATGATTGCAAGTTTCTTCAAACGTTTTGGATGAGGTACAGAGTCAAATGCATTTTGAAAATTAATGTACACCGCGTCAGTAACTAAATTGCTGTCTAAAGCTTTATTCCAGTCATTAGTTGATTCTTGAAGATTCGTACACGTAGATCTTTGGATAAAAAGCTATGTTGATTAACTGTTATTAGATTATTTATATTAAGATAATCATCGATACTTGAACTAACAATACTTTCTATGACACGACAGCTAGTACATGTGAGGGAGATAAGTCTATAATTGTTAGCATCTGAAGTAGATCCTTTTTTAAAAATAGGGGAAACCGCCACTGTTTTGGTAAAAAGCTTGACGTAAAACTTGATTCAAATATATATGAAAGCGGAATACATATTATATGTGCTAACTGTTTTAAAAGTATATTTGATATACCGTCAGGTTCAAACGATGTGCTGGGTTTTTGATTTTTTAGCTTTTGATAGACTATCTTTGCTGAAAAATCTACGAAATTCATCTTAATATGTTCACTAACAAAAGTATTTATTTTAGGCAATTTTCCGTCATCTACGATAAAAACACTTCCAAAGTGTTTGGAAGTGTTTTTATCGTAGATTTCAACATTGTTAGTAGTAAAATTGCTATTTGTTTAGAGGATATATTTTTTTACAATAACTATTATTCCCTTTTCTTATATTTATCACTTTTTTTCTAAATTTTTATTCTGTTGTTATCAGTATTTATTTAAATTAAACTTTATAGGTGTTTACTTCATATTAGTATCATTACTATTTGTAAATATCCTTAATGTAAGACCTTTTATTCAGAATAAATTTGATTTGATTTGATGCATATTAGATAAATGCCTTTTTGTGCAAGGTGGTCTTTGTGATTGACCATCGTTTCCATAAAAAAAGATTTGCGAATTAGCATTTTATAAATATACTTTGGATAAGAACGACTTTTTTTCTTATGGTATATTGTTCTGATTGGAACAAAACGATCAATATCTTTACGAATATGATCAGAAAAGATGTTCAAAACTGTTGTAAAACAAAACAGTTGTAAAAACAAAAGAAAAATTGAAGTCCTAACTTATTTTTGATAAATAAGAATCAAAACCAATTACATCTGCATTTTTGAAATCGTAAAAAGATTCAGAGTTTGTTTCGGGCTGATAAAAATTAAAGTTTAATGAGTGAACGTACTTCGATTAACGGTTTTGGTTTGCGTATAAAAGAAAAAATAACCGTTATTGCAGTAACTTTAAAAGGAGAATAATAGTAACGGTATTGTTGCGCTAGCAACAGTGTTTTAAAATAAATATTTTTGTCATCTTCATTTTTTTGTACTTCGTGAGATTTTACACGGGGTATTTTATGTAATTTTAGTCGACGACAGCTTATTGTAAACATTGATAATACATAGAAATATGAAGAAATGAAAATTTGCTAAAATATTGTTTAAAAAAATGGATTCGAGTAATAGTGAAGAAATTCTAGTTAATGAAACCCCGCTTTTTCTTTCAAATTTTGTTTCACAAGGTAATTGTTTAATTTTCAGCTGAATAGCTTTATCCGTTTTTATTCTTTTAATAGTTATTGTATAAATATTATGACATGGGGTAAGTGGAGGTATTAAGCCCCGGTTGGCATTAAGCCCAATTTCCTCTGTTCATATAATGTACAATTGTATTAAGAGAGAGGGGTATGAAGTTCTAAATAATAGAGACTAACTAACCAATTAGGAAAATCTTCATTACCATTTTGGGATTTCTAAACTAACGTCATTGATTTTTAATTAAAATTTATTGGTGAGTGTTTTTTTTTCATCCAGTTTCCGGTTTCTATCAAACGTAATGAAAAACTATTATAAAAGACATTATTATTTTTTTTTTTTATTTCGAAAATTATTTATACATATGAAACTTTTATGCAAATACAAGTACATATAATTAAGTAAGTATTTTTTTTTAACTATCTGTATATGTTATCAATGAGTTAAAATACTGATATTTGTAGAGTAAATGCAGGGGTAGAAATTTTAGCAAAGTAAAATGGAAATTTTAAAATTAGAAATTTTAGCAAAGTAAAATGGCAGTTGGATGAATGTCTAAGATTGCTTATAAATAGCTCTAAAATTCACTTTAATAATAAATTTCTGTTTAAGATTTTAAATGGATAGCATATCTAATTCAAATATAGTTCTAATGAATATTTATAAGTTTAATTAGTTTATTAAAAATGTTTTAATTAGCAGCAGTTTAATGCCCCTGCTAAAGATAACTGTTTAGAAAGGTGATTAAAACAATCAAATAATATTGATCAGATAAATAAAAGTCATGTTTTAATTTTATAAACATTATACAGATATAGTTTAAGTTATTTATTTTTCAAAATAATTTAAATTTTTCTTTAAATATAGTTTTGATAATGGAGCTTATTGCCCCCTTTATTTAGCAGAATGGTTCCAACATACAAATAGAATAACAAATAAGGCAGAAAAATCTATGCCACTAGCCAGACAATGACAGATGCCTACAATTCTGTTACAATACAGTTATGTTATATTTAAGCAGATGTCTGCTAACCAGGAATCCAAGCACTGTTGAAAGTATTTTCCAGCTTTAATGATCACAATGCTTCTGCCTCAACATCACTACTGCATGTATTGCTGTCAACATCATAGTCATCTGCAGCATCATCAACAAAATCATCTTTATCTTCATCACTATTATTTTCAGCACCTGTAGAAAGACCACAAACACCATTTTCTACTTCATTTTCAGAAAAGTCATTCAATAAAGACTTTTTTCTTAAAGAACTGCAGCCCAGATTTGCACAAACTTCTGGGGATGTTAGGTCAGTTACAACCATCAGTTTTCAATATGGAGAAGGACAAATAGTTGATGAATGTTTAAAGTGATTGAGAGAAGAAGCAGTAAAAAAAAGATAATACTCCAAGAAATAAGACCACAATAAAAAGAAGAAATCTTCCAGCCCGAGATGATAGGGACAGTGATGAAGATGAAAACATTGTGTCAAGAAAATGGTGTTCACAGAGGTCAAAGAGAAGACTGGATCTGTGAGAAGTGTCTAAAAATGATGTAAAAATAAATATATGTTTTACATAGTAGAGCTTATTGCCCCCTTTTTTTAAAATTTGAGTCAGCGCTAGTTGTAACTTAATAGTTTTTTTTTCACTGTATGACTTTAAGTTTTGCCAGATGAAACTTTTATACATATAGAAATATGTGTGGTCTATAATTAAAAAATATATTCAGTTTGAATTTAATATTTATTTACTTATTTCAAAGTGAGAAAAGAAAAGTTCTTGAAAACATGAGGCCTAATGCACCCTGTTACCCCATATATATATATATATATATATATCACAATGTGATATATATATATATATATATATATATATATATATATATATATATATATATATATATATATATATATATATATATATATATATATATATATATATATATATGAAGACCTCAGTGGAAAAACCAGCGTTGTCACATTTTAAAAGTTTTGAGAAAATGTTTATTGATCATTAATAAAAGTCTTTATATAAAGCAACAAAAAAAAGAAATTTCTTCATTAAATATTCAAGACCCTTGAATATTTAATGGATCCCTAATATTTTCAAAAAAAAAGTTTTTAAAAATTATGTCAACCTGGAACTCAAATGAACCGAAATTATATAAAAATTTCAAAAATAATGTTCATTTTGGAAAAAGCAATATGTACTTAAACAATACTTTTTTTTTAACGAAATTGGTGATTTTTTTACAGAAAATTGTTTTTTGTTTTGGCAAATATTGTATATTTTAAGGAAAATATCGTTATATATCGTTTTTTCCGAAATGAACATTATTTTTAAAATTTTTATATAATTTCGGTTCATTTGAGTACCAGGTTGACTTAATTTTTAAAAACTTTTTTTTTGAAAATATTAAGGCGATTTTCCACTCATCCGTTTTTTCACAAGAATGGGAAAGGAACGGGAAAAATAATCACGTGGGCATGCGTAGTATAAGTTTTAATATGCCTGAAGGAAAACTACGCATACTCACGTGATTATTTTTCCTTTTCCTATCCCGTTCCCATGAAAAAACGGATGAGTGGAAACTCACCTTTAGGGACCCATTAAGTATTCGAGGGTCTTGAGGGACCCTTTAAATTATTTTTTATTGAAAAAAAATTTAAACTTAGTGTTTTTGTATTAGATAGAACACATTTAGGGGGTGAGAGCAGATTATTTTTGAAAAAGTTGTTCTTTGGGACACCCTAATATATATATGCATATATATATACACAAATATATATATATATATATATATATGCATACATATGTATATATATATATATATATATATATATATATATATATATATATATATATATATATATATATATATATATATATATATCAGGGTGTTACCCAGCTGATGGCACCGCGTATAACACGGTATTCCCAATTGATTTAAAATTCCCAAAGGTTTATAAGATCATAGTAAAAAAAAAAAATTAAGTCAGTCTCAGATTTAAAGTGTTGCGCTAGACTAGTAAAAATGAGTATGCATGACGAAAAAATTAATTGAATTGATCGTTTTTTTTTTGTGTAAAAATGTGTCGTCATTAACAAGCGTCATTAACCTTAACAAGATCATTCATTCAAAAGTTTAAAAAAAACTTTATTTGTAATTTTTATTGACGTCACTTATTCTCAAGTTCAGATTTTTTTTTTTTTTTAATTGCGCTTTTCTTGAAATACATAATTAAGGCGTTTTAAAAACCGGCTCCAATATATCAAAAACAAAGAAAAGAAGCAATTTAAATAAACTTTACAAGATTTCTCATAATGAAACAAGTTGATTAATTAAAATTAAACATATAAAGTAGAAAAATAATTCTGCTGTAAATGTAACTCCCAGCAAAAATAGAAAATTTATTTTGATATAAATTTAATTGCAGAATGTAAGGACTTTTTTTTTTTTTTTAGCCGCTCCTAAATTCCCAATTTCGCAAAAACGCTGTATGAAATATTTTCCTGGGTAACACCCTGTATATATATATATATATATATATATATATAATATATATATATATATATATATATATATATATATATATATATATATATATATATATATATTTATATATGTATATATATATATATATATATATATATATATATATATATATATATATATATATATATATATATATACATATATATACATATATATACATATATATATATATATACATATATATATATATATACATATATATATATATATATATATATATATATATATATATACAAATATATATATATATATATATATATATATATATATATATATATATATATATATATATATATATATATATATATATATATATATATATAATAATTAGAGATTAAAGTGTCATTATTTACAACTATCACAATAGTGATGAAGTAATTCAGAAGCACTAAACAAGTAAACTATGAGTCTGAAAAAGAGTTCATAAAAAGTTCATATTTTAGTCTTTTTTTGAATGTTTCTATAAAAACATTCAAAAAAAGTCTTTTTTTGAATGTTTCTATAGAAACATTCAAAAAAAGCCTAAAATATGAACTTTTTATGAACTCTTTTTCAGACTCATAGTTTACTTGTTTAGTGCTTCTGAATTACTTCATCACTATTGTGATAGTTGTAAATAATGACACTTTAATCTCTAATTATTATATATATATATATATATATATATATATATATATATATATATATATATATATATATATATATATATATATATATATATATATATATATATATATATATATATATATATATATATATATATGTATATATATATATATATGTATATATATATATATATATATATATATATATATATATATATATATATATATATATATATATATATATATATATATATATATATATATATATATATATATATATATGTATATATATATTGGCTTGGCCAGGAAGGCGTGCGATTTCAAGTGTTTATATGACCACATAATAATATTTTATTTTGATGATTAAACCATGGTTTTTAACAAATGCACATTTAAAATTAGCTTTTAATCACATTGAAAATAAATAACTTCGACACATTTATCTTTACAAACGTTTTTATGTTAGTTTTTAAATAAAGTAGCTAATGATTTTAATTAAAGTATCATTGAAAGGTATATAACTTTTTATTTATTATATAAGATTTTTTTATAAGTAAAAATAAAAAATGTTAAAATTAAAAACATTTATGAATAATATTTATTTTTTATATTTATATAAGTAATTATTTTTTATTATAAATGTTTTTAAATAAATAAAAATTATATCCATTTTTTAAATAAACAATTTGATTATTTTTTCTTTTGTGCGAAGAATTGCTAAGAAACTTTTTTTAAACTTTTTTAAATGTGCACGTTTATTAAACAATCATGTGAAAAGGGTTTCACATAATATTATATTATAAAACATTAGTAAAGATAAATGATTAAA